TGTGTGTGTGGGGGGGGGGGTTCACAGTTCCCGCGGTTACTAATCTCTGCTTCCCCATCTTCCCTATTTGCTCTTTCAATGTGTCTAATTTCTGTGTCATATTTTTTTACTTAAACTTCTTTTAGTGATTTTATTTTTCTAACAGTGTCTGAATGAACAACCTTAAGCATTAGCACTGTTAGCACTGTTAGCACTGCCCTCCCGTTGTTCATCGATTTGCTTGAGCGGGCCCAGTAACATCTCCTTTGTGAGACTTATTGTTACTGTGTTTGGCATATCGAATATGTCACAGGGAGCTTGCCAGGCATGAGAGGGGAACAGGAGCACCTCGAGCCTTAAACGTACAAAATTTAAGTCCAGATTTATCTTAAACTCAGTTTGTAAAATATGTATGTATTCCTCTTTGAGAATGCTCCCGAGAAAAGTTCCTTCCTATGACTTCATTTTGTTTCCTATGAGTAATAGTATTTATATCAATAATAGAATATTATCTGCATCCAAAAGTTTAAGACTGCCCAATATTTATAAAGATATCAGTCACTACCAACTTGCCCTATAGATTTGATTACCAACAAGGCCTAACTATTTTTCCTGGAATTGACAATTTTAAAAACTTACATGAAAATGCAAAAGGTCACGAATGGCCAATGCCCACTGAAGAAAAACAAGATGGGAAGTCCTTTTGCACCAGATACTGACTTATTAAAAGCTCTGGTGAGACTGGAGATATAGCATAGTAGGTAGGGCGCTTACCTTGTATATAGCCAACCTGGTTCAATCCTCGGCATCTCTTTTGGTACCCTAAGCACCATGCGGAGTGGTCCCTTAGCATTGCTGGGTGTGATCCCAAAACAAAACAAAACAAAAAAGCTGTGGTAATACAGAAGTTGTGATGCTACTACAAGAAAAAACAACAACAACGAAAACAGTTAAATGCAATGGATAAATATTCTGTTTTTCTTTTGTTTTTATTTTTGTTTGTTTGTTTTGGGGACCACATCTGGCAATGCTCAGAGATTATTCCTGGTTCTGTGCTAAGGAATTACTCCTGGTGATGCTCAGGGGAATATATATGGGGTGTTAAGGATTGAACCTGGGTTTGGCCCTTTATGCTGTACTATCTCTCTCGCCTTATAGCTTCCTGCTATACTATCTCTATAGCCTTAGAGTATTCTAAAAGAATCCAAAAATATGTCTATGCATAGATCCTAGATTTTTTTTCTACAGTGAGACTTTAAAGTAGGTGGGAGAGGATGGTCACATTGATAACAAATTCTCAAGACAGATGTCCATATGGTAGAGAATATGACTCTACTCCTCTTTCATACCATATAGCATATTTTAAAGCTCTGGTTTCAGAGGGAAATATTGTTTTTATTCCTTCATCTTACTTTGGGAGGATTCCTGATAAGTTCTTCTCTCCAGGGCTTCTCCTGCCCCTCACCCCCAGTGCAAGGAATTCTAAGTACAACTGACAAATAATATAAAGTTTATAAATTAATGTGAAGGTAGAAATTTATATCTGAATGTAGGAACTGATGATAGGCCAACTTACAAGAATGATGTGGCCTTTCTTAATGAATCCTGCACTCAGCACAAACCCAGTCGGAACAGTTACCAAATGCCCTTTACTGTTTAAAATCCCATACTTAAAAAATTATTTTATTTTTATAAAGTAGTTCATAATATTTGATTACATTTAATATTCAAACACCAATCCCATCACCATTACATCTTCCCACCACCATATTTTGGATGTTTCCATCCCGAACCCCAACCCCTGCTCCAAAGCAGAACCAAAATAATTTATTATGTATTGTTTGTTATGAAAAACCTCTGAAAATGCTCCAAAAAGCTTTCCTTAGGGGAGAGTGTGTGGAGATTGTTGTATTTCACCCAGGGGCCATAAGCTCTTCTATAAGAGATTACTAAAACATAAAAGCCCATGCTTTTCAACACAGCAAGAATAAAGGGAAGTCATTGGGATACTGGAATGCAGCTGGCCCTGGAAAGAGGCCATTCCAAAGTACTGTTGCCAGCCAGAGCTCATTAAATAGTGGCTGGAGGAGCTGGGGAAATAAGTCTAAATACCTAGAGCACATTTGTTTTTTATGGGAAGCCTGGGATCAATCCCCAGTACCAAATGCTTCCCCAAGTGAGCCCAGCATCAAGCAGGTGTAGCCCCCCCAAACCAAAATCAATTAATAAATAACAGCATATTGGCCACATATAAGAGCCATAACCCCTGTACTCATTTTTTCCAGCACTAAAACCCTTATATGATTTTTTTAACATTTGGAGCCACACCCGGCCATACTCAGGCTTACTCCTGGCTCTGTACTCAGGGATCACTTTTAGTAAGTTTGGAGGATATGGGGTGCTGGGGATCAAACCCAGATGGATCACATGCAAGGCAAATGCCCTATCCACTGCACTATCTCTCCAGCCCCAACTCTTTTTTTTTTCTTTTTGTGTCACACCCAGCAATGTTCAGGGGTTATTCCTGGCTCTGCTCTCAGAAATTACTCCTGGAGGTGCTCGGGGGATCATATGGGATGCTGAGAATAGAACCTGGGTCGGCCGCATGCAAGGCAAATGCCCTACCCGCTGTGCTATCTCTCCAGCCCCCCTCCAGCCCCAACTCTTATATACGATTTTAATAGAGAAGCTTAATGCCCACGAAAGATCCCTTAGCTGTCTTTCTTTCTGTAGCCATTGCTCTCCAACCACTGGGTTTGTTCCAAGAATGTTTTCTTTTTATTTTTAAATAATTCCATAGCACTGTAGCACTGTCCTTCCATTGTTCATCGATTGGCTTGAGTGGGCCCAGTAATGTCTCCATTGTGAGAATTGTTGTTACTGTTTTTGGCATATTGAATACATCACGGGTAGCTTGCCAGGCTTTGCTGTGTGGGTGGGATACTCTCGGTAGCTTGCCAGGCTCTCCGAGAGGGGTGGAGGAATTGAACCCAGGTCGGCTGCGTGCAAGGCAAACGCCCTACCCGCTGTAATATTGCTCCAGCCCAATAATGCCATATTTCAGAAAAATACTCCAAAAAAAGGAAAAAAAATTCCCGCATATCTTTTTTATAATCCCCCGAGTATTTTATTCTTTCCTCTAACTCTAACTATTTTAAATATTTGTAAAGTGTACAGATGGCATCCATTCGCCTCTCAATATTTGTGTATGTCCTAAGAACAAGGTCACTCTCTTACATAGTCACTGAATAGTTCTCAAGATCTGTACATTAATACTGCTAAGAAAATTTTAGTGTAATCTACAGGTCTTAATTCAAATCTTCCTGTTTCTCCAATATGCTTTATAAAATTCTTTCTTAAATATTCTGTGGCTGTGGCTGTGGTAAAATAATTCCCTGCCTTCTCAGGTAAATGTACCTAATCAGTACCTGCAAAAAGAATTTGAATTCCACTGATTTTTACCATAGACTCTCTCTTTATCAAGGTATGTAGATACCTGCTTTTCCTGAAAGAGATCCCAGGTGGAGATACACTTTATTCCACAAAGCATGTGTAATCAAAAAGATTTTGTGGGGCCGGAGTGATAGCACAGCGGGTAGGGCTTTTGCCTTGCACGCGGCCAACCTGGGTTTGATCCCCAGCATCCCATATGGTCCCCCAAGCACCACCAGGAGTAATTCCTGAGTGCAAAGCCAGGAGTAACCTCTGAGCATTACTGGGTGTGACCCAAAAAGCAAAAAAAAAAAAAAAAAAAGAAAGATTTTGCATCTTCTCCTTTTAGGACTGGAAATTTGCCTGCATTTCCCCCCCTAATTTCTTAGCACATGAAGGAATATATACATATATATGTATGTGTATATGTAATACATATATATATATATCAAAGATTTCCTGGAAGATTTTTACTTCCATATCATACATACTAAGAAAACAGTTTCTATTCCAATTTTAAAGCAAGAGAAGATGCCCAGAGCTGGTGGGAGGTAATGCATGCTTACAAGCAAGCTATTCCATTAACACTCCTGAGACTATAGCTCAGTTGGGTTTTGGTTTTTTTTTTTCTTTTTGGGTCACACCTGGTGATGCACAGAGATTACTCCTGTTTCTCCACTCAGGAATTACTCCTGGCTATACTCAGGGGACCATATGGGATGCTGGGAGCCAAACCCCGGGTCAATCTCTTGCAAGGCAAACACCCTACCTGCTGTGCTATCACTCTAACCTCTCATTTTTTTTAAGTGAGTGCGACTATCAAAATCAATGTCTATAAGAAAGGGAGTTGTTTAAATTCTGGTTAACAGCTGTTAATACAATACAGCGCCACCACTCAAAAGAAGATGTATCTGGATTTACTCCAAAATAAATTAAGCCTAAACAAAATTAAGACAGTGTGATTGTCATGTTGACTCTACAGAAAAGGACTTGAGTTTGGAAGAGAGACATTTATGATAAATATTTTGTGTCATTTGCTTAAAATGTATCAGATGCTTATGCTCTGCCTGCATCGAGTCATAGGTAGGATTTAGATAGATAGAGAGGATTCTGTAAGTATAGGTCAAAACTTTGGAGGAACAGCAGGTTGTACATTATTCAGTTGCACCCTTTGTTTTTAAAACCATCACCCCTATTTCCAACTCCACCCCCCGCTTCTTATTCCTCTTCAGTTAGCCGGTGTCTCTGGCTCCATTAGGCACTGAGGACTCAAGGCAGATGTAGCCGTCGAAACGTTCTCAATAGGACCAATAGTAGACCGTGCACAGCCTCAGACAGCTCAGACCTCGGCCTGCGGGTGGCGAGCAAGGCAAGAAGTGAGGAGCAATCTCCGATGAGCTGGGTGGGTCCCGCACCCAGCCCCCCGCCTCCGCCCGATTTCAGGTCTCCCCACTACTTCCCCTCATTCCTTCTCGTGCTCACCCAACCCAGCTCCAGACCTGCCGCCCGGGGCGACTGCACTGGCATAAATACCTCCCCCCTGGGGCCACCCCGTGACGTCAGAGCTGAGTGAGGGGGCGACTCCTCCCGGGCGCCCGCCCCTCCCGGCCCCGCAGCCCCCACCGGCGCTTTATAAGAGCGGGGCCTGCGCCGGGCGCACCGCAGCGCCGCTGGGATCCGGCCCCGCGGCCCCGCTCCGGGAGCAACTTCTCCTCGCCTTGCTTCCACCTCCTGCTGCAGCGGCGGCGCTTCTCCAGCCCCGTCTCGGTGCAGATCCTGGAGAGCCGGACCATGCATCCCGCGGTGCTTCTCGGTCTCCTGGGAGCCGCGGCCGGTGAGTGGGAGCCGCGGGCCGTTCAGCACCGCGGACAGCGCCGTCCTCTGGTCCTCCCCACGCGCCCCCCCCCCCCCCCCGCCTCGCTTCTGGGCCCCGGGGGATGTAGGCAGAGAGGTGGGGTGCGTGGAAGGTCTCTCCGTCTCCGGCTGTAGATCTTCTCTTCTCTGGCTCAGTTCTCAGCCACACTGTTCGACTTGGAAAAAGCGAGAGGACTTCCTTACCTAAGAGTCAGTCTTTCCCCAGCTTGAGTTTTCCTGTAAATAGGAAGAGAAACGTGTCCGCGTTTGTGCTTTCATGTGCTCACTTCTGAATTGTCACGCTCTCTCTCTCCCGACAAGGGGACGCTCTGGTTGTAGGATTCTGTATCTGTGAATGTGTGCTTGGCTTTTCAGAGATGATGGCAGAGGGACAGTGGAACGTGGATTATGATATTAGTTGGCAAATTAACTCCTCTCATTCGTAACTATTTTTTATTAAATATGATAAGATAGAACTTCTGCATGTATATGATATCTTTTTTCTTAATATGGTCGTGTGTATGTGTACGGGCTCATATCTATTAAGGTACAGAGTTAATGTGATGGTTCCATTTTGAGAAATAGGTAATTTCACACTCAGTCTAAAATCATGAATGAAAACCTCAGTAGATATTTAGACTGTTGTACTCTAGAAAAATAATCAGAATAGAAAATAGCTAGAAAAGTATACATGGTAGTAGTGAAAAATCATTTTAGGTAATTAGGTAATCTGAAGTTTAAAATAATAAATATTTGGCAGTGTCTCTTTTTTGTGTGGAAGATTGTGGGGTTAATCTTTCAAACCACGATGAATCACCAAAAAAAAATTCTATGCTTGGGGAAAAAAACTGTGTGTGTGTGTGTGTGTTTGAGCATGGTTGTGTGGTTGTGTTTGGGGTGTATGGGTGTGTATCTGTGTGTGTTGAAATAATGTTTCTACGAGCTTTGAAACTATTGAAAGATAATTTTGGCATCACCAGATTATGTCAGAGATCTTTCTTAGTTATTTTAATGACCTTGTAGAATATTGTTCTCCTCTGAACCTGGATTTCCTAATTAGAATTGAGGTCTTGTCACCCATCAACATGAAGCTTTCATTGCCCACCATTACTGGATTCAAAATGTAAAGAAACAAAATGAAAGCCAGTGATAATTTTATTGTAAGCTACCTACAATCAGAATTTTTAAAAAATTCTTGTCACTCTTATAAATTTCCTATAAATGTTCTCAATTTAGTTAAAGAAAACCAAATAACTATTCAGAGTATTTTCTAGTCAAAGACCTTTCAGGAAGAAATTGCATCAAATACTAAAGTTATGCTGTACAGTGTCCCATAGGTCACAAAAACAATGTCACTTGTGATACTTATTTAGCTGCACTCTAAAATATTTGTAGATCTCTTATGTAAGAGAAGTTTGATTAGGGCTCACATTTTAATAGCAGCTAAACATCATCACTATCAAGTTTCAGAATATTTGCATCACCCCGAAAAATACTGCACCTATTCCCCATAGTCTTTCCTCATTCCTGTCTCCTCCTGGCAAAGTCTGGAAATGAGAAGTGGAACCTTCCAAGCAGAGTTTGTAATTTAGCATAATTGCCAGGTCAGGAAGGAAATTCAGAAAACCTTGTTTCATTTCCTACCCTCTGGGATTTTCCTGGGAGAGATCCACCTCTTCTACAGCAGCCAGTATGGACTCTTAAAATGGAGTAATTACATGATGTCTTTATTATATTGAACAGGATGGTTATGCTTTCTGAAGAACTTACTAAACTTATTTTGTAGCTAGTTGAAATTTGGAGTCAAGCCTTTAATATTCTTTTGAAGCACTAATGGTTCAGAAGTCTTTCTCAGATTTATCGTGATTTGAAAATGTTTCTACCATTAGTATTTAGCTTTTAACAAAATACTGAACTTGTTTTCTGTTCCCAGAATCTTTACTCAAACATAAGTTGTGGGTGGGGGGGGGGGGGTCAGAGAGATGATACAGCAGGTGAGGCTCTTCCTTTACATGTAACCTTGCCCCTAGTTTGATCCCCATCAACATATAAGGTTCTCTGATTCCTACCAGGGATGCCCCCAGAGTTTAGTAGAGTAAGCTTTGAGTACAGGCCAAATGTGGCCCAACCTCTTCACCAAAATCAGTTAAACTGCTTCAGGGAAACCAACATGCCTTGGCTGTCACAGGTTCATGTTGAAAGAAATATAATGACACTTAAATGTCTCTCTAAGATGATTAATGTACTTTCACAAAGAAACCCTAGTTCCTTTCCATTAAAAAAAATGTGTCTGAAGAGCTGCAGTCAGAGAATTAGGACAGATTTGAAATAGCAACATGAGTTACAAATTACTTAAAAGAAAAAAAAATTCTCTCCCCTCAAATCTGATCATTCAATACTTTAGCTACATCAGTCATTTATAAATTTTTATATTTCTATTTGTGAAAATTTGTATTTGTGAAAAATAGATAAAAATAAGAAATTTCATTACTAGAGAAGGCTTAGCAGAGCTTCATTTTTAAAAGGAAACTTCTTGGGGTTTTTTTTTAGAGGAATAATTCAATGATTTCTTACCAGAGGAAGAGCATATCCTGAAATAGAAATGTTTCCAAGTAACAGTCATTTGGGAGATGAAATAAAGGCCTAGCATTTTGGACCCTAGTTGCCAGTGCCGAGCCATTCAGATCTCGCCTGAATTGCAGGTTCAGGCAAGGACATGGGCTTTTCATATCTTGCTAATGACTTCTCAAATATTTTACAAATGATTTTTAATGTACTGAGGGACTTCGGGTCTCTAGAAACAATTCAAGTAGGTTTTGCTCTGAAAAGGAAATTGTAATGGGGTGAGTAAATAAAAGAGATGCTTTATTTCTAGGCTGATCTGTACTATGTAATGACTGAACAGGGGTTAGTTGAAGAGACTTGAAAAGCAAACATTGTGGGAGGAAAGGTCGGGTCTCTGATGAGAGAAATAAATGGCCCTTGAATAGTTTCTATGTGTAGGTCTGAGATTTTGCTCTGGCCCCAGGGAGTTCTAATCTTATCTCAGGGACCTAGAATCTTCAGAGCTAAACTCCTCCAGCCATAACAGCTGTTTTTCCTCTTGAGACATCCAAGGAAATTGTGGAGATGACCTTATAGGCCAACACTTTGAGTTTTTATGATGGAAAAGCCTTAGGATGAAGTGAAAGTGAAAGATAGCAGAATCATATTACTGCTGCGGCGGGTTTTGTTTTGCCTTACTGAGATTCACACATGCAAGGAAGTGCTCTACCCTGAATTACATCTTCCCATCTCAAAACCATTTTGAAAAGAAAAAGAAAATGACACTGGAAAATTGAAATAACCTGAAATGGTTCCTAAAAAGTAAAAGGCACTTCAATTTCTAGTTTAAAATAAGTAGAATTTTATGAAATTTAATTGAAATAAATTTTAAATTTTTCTTTCCAGAACCAGAATAATAGTCCAGTGGGTAGGGTACTTGCTTGTACTCTGCTTTGACTTAGCACTGTTCTAGACATAATATACAGGAGACGGTGAGGATATGTTGTACATTGGAGGTTTAAAAAGCTTCCCCAAATCAACTCATTTCTCTTTCTTTTTCTCCTTTCAAGTCGTTGGTTCTATGCCAGTGGATAATGGGAACCACAATGAAGAAATGGTAAGTTGAATTGAAAGTCTAGGGCTTAGATATATCTCGATCCTCCCACTCCTTATCACACTAAATCCAACAAAGACAAAGACAAATAGCAATTTTTAAAACCCACCACACAGTCTTACAGGACCAGGTTTTCACAGTTTTTCATCCCAAGAAAATGAGTGCAATAGATGTTCATCCTGCTTTGATCTTTTACCTTTTTGCTGGATATTTTGGTGGCCCTTGAAGAGAGTTGTGTCATTTTATATATTTATTTGTATGCTTTTTGGGTCACACCCAGCAATGCCCAGGGGTTATCTCTTGCTCTACACTCAGGAATTACTCCTGGCGTTGCTTGGGGGACCATATGGGATGCCGAGGATTGAACCTTGGTCGGCTATGTACAAGGCAAGTCCTCTATCCGCTATACTATCACCCTGGCCCCCGTTGTGTCATTTTAGCATTTTTCTTCTCACTTATTCAGAAATGGGTATTTTCTTCCTGAGATAAACTTGATCCACTGTTTTCTTGCACTTATTCATGAAGGGATTTGGCAGATTTCAACAGTCTTTGTAGAAATAAAACTATGATTCTGCCCCTAAGGTACCTCCACCAGCAAGGGACATAGCCACACCTCTGTCCACAGTAGCTCAGGGTTGGGTACTCTGTCATCCCACTGACACTAGCTTTTGTCAACCTGCTTTTGGGTTTACCCCCAGGTGACTCGCTGCATCATCGAAGTCCTCTCAAATGCCCTATCTAAGTCCAACGCGCCTCCCATCACCCCTGAGTGCCGACAAATCCTGAAGAAGAGTAAGTATCCCTCACTGTAGGAGATCTTTATCCCCCTGATTCTTGCTCTGCTTCCATCCACTTATCCTCCAAACAAACTTGTGGCACGGTGCAGAAGGAAGAGTTCTGACTGACCTAGAAGTTGAGGAGGTACGGAGGGGGGCGGATACGAGATCTGACTTCTGGTCTCTGCTCCACCACTTAACTGCTGTGCGGCCATGGGGATGACTCCTTGTCTCTCTAGACTTGCTTCCTCAAGGTAAATTGGGAGAGTTGAAGCCAATAATAACAATCTTAGAGATGTCTATCAGTTCTTAAATTCCTTGGTTTCAGAATTCGGATTTATAGACTGAGTGGCATTTGGGTAGAAGAAATAAGGAGACTTGTTTGTAATCAGGGCATTGGAGGTTGTGCTGTGGGAGTACTGGAATAGGAGGGCATAGAATGGGGTTTTAACATTGGTTAGGCCAGGGCTAGAGCAATAATAGCGTGATCAGGGTACTTACTTTGTATGCGACCAACCCAGGTTCAATCCCTGGCACTTAATATGGTCCCCTGAGCACCGCCAGAGATGATCCTTGAGTGCAGAACTAGGAGTGAGCCCTGAGCACTGCTGGATGTGGCCCAACCCCCACCCCACTACCACCCCCCCCCCCCAAAAAAAAGACCATAAAATTAGTTAGGCCATTTTATACAGAGGTTATTTGAAAGACAGCTGTTATTGTATGGTCCTAGGAATTCAGGATCTGAGAACTAGAGGGATAAAGGTGGAAGCAGAGCCTCCGATGAATCAGAGCATTGATCTGCTGAGTCTAGACCAGCATGCTTTCTCTATACAAAACAACTTCTGTTCCAAATGAAAACTGAACAGCGATGAGTCACATCCATTGGGCGTTGACATTAAGGGATCAGTATTAGGTACTGGGGATATGACTCAGCGATCAAGTGTATGTGCCACGTGTGTGAGGCCCTGGGTTTAGGCCCTGGCACTGAAATCAAACCAACCCATGAAGAGATCAGTGTTGATTATTCATGAAGTCAGGCTAATTCAAATAACCCCCCACCCCAACCCCCAAAACAAACACTGTTCTTTTCAACATATTTCTTACTTTGACATTTCTGGTCAGGCTGTAACAGTAGACTTTTATTTCCCCTTCACTTTCAAATGTTTTTCATTGCAAAGTAATACTCTCCTGTTATTGGTGCACAATAATGCTCAAAAATAGAAAAGTAAAAAGAAGTATTAGTGATTGATAAAAGGGAAACCCAAGAAAACTCAATTCACCATTGGAGACTTCAAGGTAGTCCCAATATTTGGTGGGGGGTGGGGGTGGAGGGGGAACCTGGGTCTCTGTAGGTTCTTCTTCCTGAAAGTCTTTACACTTCTTGCTGAATTCTCTCCAATTTTCTCTTCAAAATTTCAAAGAAGTTTGGTTCATCATATTAGGTGGGAGTTTAAGAAAAACCTGTCAGGTCAGCGAGATAGTATAATGGGTAAGGCATTTGCCTTGCATGCAGCTGACCTGAGTTCTATCCCTGGCACCCAATATGGTCCCAAGCACTGCCAGAAGTGATACCTGGGTGTAGAGCCAGGAGTCATCCCTGAGTACCACCAGGTGTGATCCCCCCCCACACACACATACACATACAAATAAGAAAGTCAATGATAAGAGAGAATGTAGTAGGTAGAATGCTTGCCTTGCACGCAGCTGATGCGGGTTCGATTCCTGGCACCCCATATGGTCCCCCAAGCACCACCAGGAGTAATCACTGAGCACAGAGCCAGAAGTAATCCCTGAGAACTGCCGGGTGTACCCCCACCCCAAATGTCAAGAATAAGTCTCATCTTGTCTCACCCCTGATCAAATTCTTTATCCTTAGGCCATGGCTATCGCCTGACTGTCTCCTGCAATTTCTCTACTTTGTCTCTTGAGAGAGCCCCAGGGAAACCTGTGAAAATCTAGCAAACCAAATCTATCAGATCCAGAAGAGTCAGTATGGCATCAAGGAGCTTTTCTGGGGTTGCAGACTCCAGTAAGGACCAGACCAGCACCAAAATGGAGTGTTGCAGGACAGGAGAAGGCTCATTGTCCTGCATCAGTTATAAGGGTACATGTGTCTTTTTAGAAAGGAGTACATATTTCTCAGCTCTTACCTAAGGGTGAAGAAATGTAGACATTGTTACTTGATCTTGGAATTTTTTTTTGACAGAAGTTCACATTTGAATTTTTAAGGGTCAGAGACATAGTATAGGAGGTAGTGTTCATGCTTCAGCTGTACCCTACTCAGTTAGGGTTGCAGCACCACAATGGTCCCTGGAGCACCACCAGTGGTCACTCTTGAACCAGGAATAGCCCCTGAGCAAGCACCTCTGGGTATGACCCAAACACTTCTCCTCTCCCATCTTTGAATTATTTGTGGGGGGTGTTGAGGGGTCACACTTGGCAATGTTCAGGGGTTACTCTTGGTTCTGTACTCAGGTATTACTTCTGGTGCTGCTCAGAAGACTGACTATGGGATGCCGAGAATTGAACCAAGGTCAGCAGCATCTAAAGCAGAAACCCTACACACTACTATTGCTCCAGCCCCTCACCTTTGAATTTTTAAGCAATATATTTTAGTATAGAAATATTATTCTCTCTGAATTAAAATTTCCTCCTTCCTACTTTTAGAAATATCTTAACTCCTAAAAAATATTTAGGCCAAAGAGAACTCACCTGATTCCTACCAGCTTGTGACTCTGCCCTATTCTAGTTTTCTCTCTCCTGCCTATTTTCAGCTGATCAGAAGATGGATGGAGCTTTCAGCCAACCTGAAAGATGGATGGACTTTCCCCACACTCTCCCTCCTTCCTTTCTACCCCATCTCCAACCTCTGCTCCCACTTTCCCCAGCACAAAGAGAGAGAAAGAGAGCTTGAGTAGAGGGGTATCACTGTTTGATGGCTGCTCCTTTGGGGGCACACAGCTAGTTTCTTCCCAAATACAAAAATCTCTTTGACAGAATTGGCTAGATGATCTTTGCAATGTGACAGTTAGAAGAAGTATTTCCCTTCTTGTTTTATTTGAAAGTACGAGTAAGCATCACACTTGCTTTTCCGGAGTGAGTGACAGTGATGGGGCTGCTGATCACAGCTGCCTTGTGATCTCACCTAAAGTTTAGCTAATTTTAGAGGGAAGTGTTAAGCTTCAGGCACAAGCTGCTATAGGCAGCACACACTTAACAGGGAAAAATAAAAATACTTCTGTTCCCAAATAGCAAGAAACTTAAAAAGGGGCCACCTAGCCCGATCCCCATAGCTGATCTGTCTGATCTGCAGCCGTGTTTTTGCTGATTCTCAGAATGATGTCATTCTCTGCGCAGAGCTCTCTGCTTACCTCTGTTCTCCTGGCCAGCTTCACCTAATTTGGCTTTCTTTCCCCCCAGCCCCCATTTTTCTTTCCCTGCTTTCTTCCCTCCCTCCCTCTCTCTTTTCCTTCATTCGTTCATTTGTTCATTCCTTCCTTCCCTCCCTCCTTCCCTTCCCTTCCGCCCTCCCTCCCTCCCTCCTTCCCCTCCCTCCCTCCTTCCCTCCCTCCCTCCCTCCTTCCTTCCTTCCTTCCTTCCTTCCTTCCTTCCTTCCTTCCTTCCTTCCTTCCTTCCTTCCTTAGCCACCATGGTTTACTGTTCTTGATAGGGTTTCACACAGACCTCATTCCAACCTCACATCCTCCACCCAAATCTTTTTCCCTTCACCATTGTCTCAGGGTCTCCCTCTTCCCTGATTCTAACTCCCACCCTTGATAAGCTCATTTCTGTAGACTAGTTCTCAGATTTTGTTAACTTTTAGCTTTTTGCTATTCCTTTACTATGTTTCTTGATATCCCACACATGATCGCACTCATTCTGTATCTGTTCCTCTCCTTCTGGCTGACTTCACTCAGGATGATACTCTCCCATTTCATCTGTGTAGGGGCAAATTGCATGATATCATCTTTTCTTATAGCTAAATAGTATTATGGTGTGTATATCTATCATGGTGTCTTTTTCCAGTCAGTTGCTCTTGAACATTTGGGTTGTTTACAGATTTTGTCTATTGTTAATAGTGCCACAGTGAACGTAGGAGTACAAATGTCAACAATATGGACAATTCTCAAAAAACTAAGAATTGAACTCCCATATTATCCAGCAGTTTTACTTCTTGGCATCTAACCCCAAGGGCCCAATATTATCTTTGAAAAGACAAAGGCATTGGTGTGAGGCAAGCTCCCAGAGGCCTGGGTGGGTAAGATCAATTGTCTAACAAAATCTGACAATGTGGTCATACCTGACTGAGAGTTAAACTGAGAGGTAAAAAACCACCCATTATTTCTGAGATATTTTTACAAAGCAGATCAATTGTTTTCCATTTTGCAAATGTCACTTCAAAATAACCTCATCATCTAATGTTTTAATGCAGCTTTACTTTTGATGGAAAACACAGACATGAGGCAGGAAAATAACACAGCAGTTAGGACACATGCCTAGCATGCACCTGAGCTCAGTTTATCCCTGGCATCACGTGACTTGCAAGTGCATGGTGTGTCCCTGGAGACCCCCAGCACTGGTGGAGTGGTTGGGATAATTGCTAGTGCCTCAAAGTCTGAGCAGCACTGCATCCTCGGGTCCTTACATTGAACCGCCAGTCAGGTTGAACGAGAGTCCCTCGTGGAGGCTTCTGAGCACCTTTTGGAAAGCCCATTCCAACTCTGGCAAAAGAGAGTCAGATTTCTTTTTTTTTTTTTAAAGAGAGGCCTTATTTATTTATTTATTTATTTTGCTTTTTGGGTCACACCCAGCGATGCTCAGGCGTTACTACTGGCTCTGCACTCAGGAATTACTCCGGGCAGTGCTTGGGGGACCATACAGGATGCCAGGGATTGAACCTGGGTCGGCCGTGTGCACGTGTGCAAGGCAAATACCCTGTCCACTATACTATCACCCCGGTCCCAAGATTCACATTTTAAGAAGTACTTCTCAGTGCCATTCCCCATTCTATAGAAGCATAACGTGCACCTCCGCCAAAAAACTTCACATTGGTGGTAGCCATATTCAAAAAGCTAAAAAAAGGCAAGAGAAATTGAAGAGTACATGTTGACTCAGTACCCTCTATTCAGTTTTAATTTTTCATATATTTGAGATGTTGATAACAAATGTTTTATACATCTGAAACAGATGTTTTATACATCTGAAACATTTAACAGTGTTATCAGTATGAAAACTTGATATGTTTTATGTTTTACATGCTTTCTTTTTTGGCTTTTTTGGATCACACTGGAATTACTCCTGGCGGTCTTCAGGGGACCATATGGGATGCTGGGGATTGAACCCCATGTTGGCCAACTCTGCAAGGCAAATGCCCTACTCACTGTACTATTGCTCCGGCCCCATTCTTTCCTTTTGGGACAACGTCTTGAAAATCTGGTGTCTATCTGTCAATCTGTCAATCTTTCACTTCTAGTACATCTCCTTTGGGAACAGACACATTTCTAGGGCTCCAGTAACCATAAATAACTAGGACTCACACAATGGACAGCTCAGATGAGGAACTGGAGCTGTGAATGTCAGGATTTCTATCCGAACTTGGTGACTAAGCAGAAATCCAGACCCTCCCAGTTAACAGATGGTTAACTGAATCTCTCCTTTCATGGGATGCCCTTGAATCAAGGAGGATTTAGAGAGAGTTACTGACACCTGGAGACTGGGAGAGAACAGCATTCAGTTCAAGTCCATTATGCCACCTACCGTTGAGATACAAAGGTAATGGAGACACAGAAGTGCCTTCTCGCCCTCAGAACATGCTGGGACTTGAGTGAAGGAAGAAATGGCCCTTTTCACAACTGTGTCATTTCTCAGGGAAGATATATTCACCTCATATTCTCATTGGCAGTTACTGAGATACATTGGCAGTACACTGTTTATGTAATAAAAGTCTGTTAATCTACTGGTTAAAAATTTGAACATACCCTTGGGTCCTGAGAGTTTAGCTCTTTTAACTTTATTGATTAGATTCTATTATGAGCTGTTTAAACAATGCTAACTTTTTGGGGGGAGAGGCCACACCTAGTGATACTCAGGGTTGCTCCTGGCTCTGCACTCAAGAATTATTCCTGACAGGGGCTCAGGGGACTATATGGGATGCCAGGGATTGAACCTGGGTCAGCTGTGCACAAGGCAAAAGTCCTGCCTGTTATACTATTGCTCTGTCTCCAATAATGTTAACTTTTTATACTTTTACTTAGAGCAGAATTGTAAAGAATGCCCCCAAATTAAAGCTCATGAAGACACATCTTTGTCTGCAAAAAGAGGAGAATAAACTAGACAAATTCTAAAGTTCCTCTTGGAAGAACTACTATTTCTACTTCTGTGTATTTGTTTTCACTTTGAACATTGATAGTGCCAGTAAAAGTTGTTGGCTGAGTGTTTTGAAAAAAAAAATCTGCAGTGAGATTACTTTTACCTTTAACCATGTCCAACAAGATTCTATATCATTTTTCTAAAAAAGCACAGTATGCGATCATTGTATGACTGAAACGCAAACACGGAAGTTTGTAAGTCTGTAACCATGATGATTCACTAATAAAAAACTAAAAAACAAAAACAAATTTAAAATAAAAAAAGCAGAGTATATTATCTATTAACATAAAACATTATCTGGGGAGAGCAATGATAGAGCAGGTAGGGCACTTGCCTTGCATGTCCCCAGCATCTCACATGATCCTTCAAGCCCCGCTTGGAGTGATCCCAGAGCGCAGAGCCAGAAGTAAGGCCAGAGCACTGCTGGGTATAGTCTGAAAACAAAAACAGCAGCACAACAAAAATTTAACTATTTTGTTTTTGGTTTTTTTTTTTTTTTTTTTTTTTTTTTTTTTGCTTTTGAGTTTGGAGTCACACCACCTTGCTCAGAAATTATTCCTGGCTCTGTGTTCAGGGGTCACTCCTGGCAGTGCTTGGGATCCAGCTGGGGTCTGTATGCAAGGCAAATACTTTAACCCCTATACACTCTCTCGCTAGCCCCCTATTCCAGTGATTTATTTTTTTAGCATCCTTAGAATTTATAGTTATTATGAAGTCCTGTGCTTATTGAACCATGAACAGTTCTAAAATTATACTCTTTAATTTTGTGTTATAGGTGGAAAAGAGGTCAAAGATGAAGAGAAAATTGGAAATGAAAACACAAGGTTTGAAGTCCGTCTGTTAAGAGATCACGTTGACGCCACGGAAGCCCAAGGACCCCCAGGCAAGGAGGAAGCAGAACCTCCCCAGAAAGAGGACCCGCAAGACCCAGCAATGGTCACTGAAAGAGAGGAGGGTGGGCACAGCCACGAGGGAGCAGGGACACCCCATGAGAGCCTCCACCCTGATGTCAACAGTCCTGTCTCCAAAGAAGCAGTGGCGTATCATTCTGAGCCGAGCTCAGGAGAGGACCGGGCCAAGGAGCCAGAGAAACGTCCCAAAGGGAAGCTGGGGGAGGATGCCAGCCAAGAAGCACTAGGGGAGACACAGGACATTTTTCTCCACCCGAGAAACCAGGCCTCCTCGAAGGGCAAAGAGGATGCTGCCTCCCCTTACGGCGGTACCCACTCTAGTGAACGCTCTGAGGAGAAGACACACAGTCGGGAGAGAAGCAGCCAGGAGAGCAAGGAAGATGCAGGGAGCTTCGAGAAATACCCCCACGCACCCAAAAGCCAGGCTGGGAGACAGCAGGAATCTGAGGAGAGTGAGGAAGAAGCCAGCCCCGATGTGGACAAACGACGCTTGAGGCACCACCACGGCCGGACCAGGCCTGACAGGCCCTCCCAAGAGGGGAGCCCCGCGGCCAAGGAGAGGGACCGTCCCCGTGAGGCCCTTGAGGAGTCAAATGGGGGCTGGGCTGATGTCGGGGACAGGCAGGACCGCAACCCTAGCCACTACAGGGATTTCCAAGAAGAGCCAGAGTATCGGGGGCGAGTGGGAAGTTCCCCAGTTGTCTGGGCTCCGGAGGACGTGGAGGCGGCACACCATCGGGGCAGAGGAAGTGAGGAGTACAGGGCGGTAGGCCCGTCTAGTCAGGAGGAGGAGGAGGAAGAGGAGGAAGAGGAGCAGAGGAACCACCCCGGCCTCGAGCTTGACAACATGGCACGGGGCTATGGTGAAGAAAGCAAGGAAGAGAGGGGCTGGGAGTGGGGGACCCACCCCAGAGCTAAGGGAGGCCCGTCAGGGGCCAGCAACAAAGAAGACAAGAGGTTTTTGAGTGGAGGCTACCGCCAGCTTGGAGAAACTCAACTGGACAAGGCCAGGAGGTATCCACAAGGCGAGTGGGATGAGCAGAATAGAAACGACCTCAGGGACGGGGAGGGGAGAGGCGAGGAAGGAGGCTGGGGGCGGTGGCAGCAGCCCGAGTATCCACGGGAGAGTGAGAAGAGGGAGGAAGCCCGGCTGTCGGGCCAGAGATCCACGCCCCGCTACACCTCTGAGGACAGGAAGAGGCTCGGGGAGCTACTCAGCTCCTACTTTGGCCCTTCCCAGTGGAAGAACAGCCATTTTGAGAGGAAAGATGACGTGGATGCTGGTTTCCCGGAGGGCGAAGAGGACAGGCTGGCCGTGAGCGAGAAGAGTTTCTTCCCAGAATACAACTATGACTGGTGGGAGAAAAAGCCTTTCGAGGACGACGTGAACTGGGGCTACGAGAAGAGGAACTTCGCCCCACGACTGGACCTGAAGAGACAGTATGACAGAGTGGCCGAACTGGACCAGCTCCTCCACTACAGGAAGAAAGCCGCCGAGTTCCCAGACTTCTATGACTCCGAGGAGCCGATGAGTCTGCGCCCAGCAGCAGAAAGCGAAGGGGACAGGGCTGGCCCTGGTGTTCTGACAGAAGAGGAGGTATGGGTGTGAGCCTCTGGACTGGAGTTAGGTCACAAGGGTTCTTGCTGGGGTCCAGGCCATAGCTCAGATGGTTGGAGTGCATGCTTTGCAAGAGGGAATCTTCAGTCCCTGACACTATATTGTCCCTAATACCCCATGATCCCCTGACACCATTGGGTGTTGCCCCTGAGCACCCTGCCAGGAGCAGCCCTGAGCACCACTGGATGTAGCCCCCTCCAGAAGTGGGAGGAGTTGGTTAATATTAATAGGTTCTGAGCCATAGACATAAGACAGCAGATTAAGACACTTGCCTCACATGCAGCTGACCCAGCTTCAGTCCCCAACACCACAGACAGGCCTCTCCACACTGCCAGGAATAATTCCTGAGCACAGAGCCAGGAGTAATCCCAGAGCACATTCAGGTGTCGTCAAAGTCCGTCAAATTAATACAGTCAAGATTGTCTGATATTGAGAGAAATGGATAAGAATCAATCACCAAGAGAGTGCATTCCTCAATCACTGAGCAGAAACAGTCTCTGCATCTGATATCCACCTAGGGTTCCCACACCCTCCTTTTGCCATGCGACCTGGGCCTCATGTTAGTATCATCCAGAGACTGTTAGAAATTCCTGATTTCTAACAGGTCTGATAGTCATCCCCAGCAGCTCTGTCTGCTAGGTACTAGGGGTAGCCTGGGCCTTCGCTCTGAGTTGCTATCAGTGATCCCTAATGGATTCCAGTCACCTGTTTGCTCTCCTGGGCCATTTAATTATTTACTGCTACTGCCCAAGGTAGGAAGAAGTCAGATGACCACTGTCACTGTCACTTTCCTCCCATTGTTCATCGATTTGCTCGAGGGGGCCCAGTAACATTGTAAGACTTGTTACTGTATTTGGCATATTTAATACGTCATGGGTAGCTAGCCAGGCTTTGCTGTGCAGGCGAGATACTCTCAGTAGCTTACCAGGCTCTCCGAGAGGGGTGGAGGAATCGAACTCAGGTCAGCTGTGTCGCCCGCGTGCAAGGCATTTGCCCTACTCGCTGTGCTATCGCTCCATAAATTGCTTTGTCCATCTTTATCATCTGCTGGTCCACAACAGGTAGAGCAGGTATACATCTGGGACAGATAAAGCTATCAGAGCTCTACTTGCTTAAACAGTGTTCCCGCCCCCCCCCCCCACCACCAAATTGATTGTGTAGGTTGGTACTCTTTCAACTTGGATACGCATCAGAACCAGAAGAGATTCCTAGTCCTTGGTATACTTCAGAATGAGTAGGGCCTGGGTGAACTCTAAGAATCTTGGGTTTCCATATGTAGCTTTGACTTAGACTTCTGACAAGTTTCCTGGTAGTGCCCATGTTGTTAGTCAGAGGGCTGTACCTTGAGAACCAGTTATATAAGTTGTCTCATATAGATGCTAACATATCAAACCCCCCCCCCACCTTTGGTGGTCTTACACCTTTAACCTACAACTAAATTAATTGATGTGGGACTTCATGCCTCTATTTTTCTTCCTTTTCTAGGAAAAGGAACTTGAAAACTTGGCTGCAATGGATTTGGAACTTCAGAAAATAGCCAGGAAATTCAGTGCTAATCGAGGGGGCTGATGGTCATTGGAGCAAGCGGCCATTGTCGGAAGCAGCCCTTACATCATCTATTTTCCACCATTTCACTGAGAGACACCATTTAGTTATCTGAAGGGAGAAAGTAGAATTTACTATTTATTGAATGTTTGACATAATTGGAAATGTATTTTTTGTAGTATGCAATTGAAAATGAGTAGCATGACTTATAGCATATTCTTTCTTGCAAAATAGACTATTAACACGCTTGTGACCATGACTATGCTACTATCCTTGAAAAAATATCTTTGTCTCAGTTTGAAATAATAAAAGGTTCATCTGAGGCCATCATCTTCATGTTCTTACTTTTTTGGGGGGTATATAGGGTGGGCATTAAGAGGTATGAGCATGGTATGGAAATCTATTCTTTTGTTCTTATTGTTGGTTTTCAGGCCACACAGCTGTGATCAGTGTTTGTTCCTAGCTCAGTGCTCAGGGATCACTCATGGCAGTGCTTTGGGGACCATATGGGGTCCCCAGGGTGGAAGCAGAGTCTGCTGCCTTCAAGGCAAGTGTCTTATCCACTGTGACCTGTTTCCCTGGCCCTGAAATCTTATCCTTAATGTAAATCCTAAAAGATAATGCAGGATATGTTAGTCTTTGGTTACAGAATAGAAAAAAGTGGGGTCATATCTCTGAAATTAAAGAATGTGCAGGGTATAAAGGGAAAGAACAGGACTAGACAATCTGTTGTCCCAGACTGTCTGGAGAAAGATTGTATAGGTTTGAATAATCTGTTTCTAAAAATGATCATAGGCATCACTTTTGAAGTCATATTAACTGGAATGCTCTAGAAATAGCCAGGGTCATTCTTCAAGGCTCAGGAGAAAGACTGGCTCAAGGGAAGACCTCCAGTTTGGGAATCACAACCTCTGAGCTGGTCCCTTGGCAGATTCCTGACCTCTTAGGGATTGTCTGCTTTCTTTCTTTCTTTCTTTCTTTCTTTCTTTCTTTCTTTCTTTCTTTCTTTCTTTCTCTCTCTCTCTCTCTTTTTTTTTTTTGCTTTTTGGGTCACACCTGGCGATGCACAGGGGTTACTCCTGGCTTTGCACTCAGGAATTATTCCTAGCGGTGCTCAGGGAACCTTATGGGATGCTGGGGATTGAACCCAGGTCGGCCGTGTGCAAGGCAGACACCCTAACCACTGTACTATCGCTCCAGCCCTGCCTATCTGATTTCTGTGGTAAGAAGACAGGACTCTGTTACTAAGTAGTTGTGTGACCTTGGGTAACTTATTTGCCTTCTCTGGATCTCAACTCATCAGTAAAATAAAGTTGATGGCTATGAGGACAGTCTGCATTTATGCAAAAACACTTAGAAAAGTGTCTAGCATTTAGAAATGATGAAGGATTTATCTCTGCAGCCGCTCACAGCAAGACGTTGGACAGTTTCCCCTTGTGTTTTAACAGTTTGGGTAGAGAGCTATTCTCTGGGAGATGGCAAAAACAAGTGAAGGGCTACTCTAGGACTTTTTGTTTTCCTGGTAAGGCAGAGTCTCATAACTGAGTCAAGTATTGCCTGTGTTAGGCCATGATGCAGCTCATTAGTAGAGCACTCGCCTTGCATGTGTACTTGTGTGCAACCCTGGGCTCCATCCCTGGCACTGTCATTTAAATTTTAAAAAAGGAAAAGAACTAAGAATTGCCTGTTTTAATTAAACCGGATTCTTCAAAGAACGTTCTCCCAGAGTTTCAGCTTTATCTGGGGAGCAAAGACAATCAGTTTCTGTGAGTTTGATGGGGAATCATCTTACAACCGGCTACATGCTTCTAGAAAGCTGCCTATCAGCTCCCTTCCTGGGGTTTTTAGTTCTGTTCATGGGATGGGGATGAGAGGTTGGCAGAGGCAAGTAGGAGTGGCTGGGGGAGGGGAACTCCTGCTGGACAGGAAGTTGGTATGTGACCATGATGTGGTTTCTGGGGCTGCATCATGAAGTACCACCATCAATTGAATGTCCTACAGTGCTGGCATCCAAAAGGTCTTCAGGAACACGCTTCCTCAGGGGCATGTGGAGGAAGAGCTTCTCTTGCTCTTCTTGTGGCTAACTTCTTGTGAACTAACTTCTCGTGGCTCCTTGGTGGCTCCTTAGGGGGCTACAAAACTCTGGTCTCTGCCTTCACCTTCTACTTCTGCATCTTGGTTCCTTCTATAAGGAAACCAATCTATTGGATTAAAAACCTACTTCATTCCAATATAACAATATATTGCTAATTACATCTTCAACAGACCTATTTTCCAATAAGATTATATTTGGAGGGTGCCAGAGCATATAAGGCACTTGCCTTGCACACAGCCGACCCAGGTTTGTTTCTCAGCATCCCATATGGTCCCCAGAGCCAGGACTGATCCCTGAGTGAAGAGCCAGCAGTAACCCCTGAGCATCACTGGGATTGACCCCAAAACCAAAAAATCATATTTGAGATTCTGAGAGTTTGGGTCCATATATATTTTTAGAAGGGGCAGACAAAATTCAGCTCATAACAATGTAGACCCTTATGTAAATAACCTTAAGTCACATATTCCATACTATTTTCCAGAATCCCCAGGACATGGATCCCTACCTAAGTTCCATAGAAGTGATCACTCAGCAACGCCCCTTCATAGGCTGTCTTGACGTGACTGTGAGTCAGATGCCAACTGGCATTTCCTGTTGCTCATCCACAGCTTCTTATATCAGACTTTGCTTCTGGAATCCCCAGCCTAAGAAACCATCCAAAACCTCACTTGTATTAGGGCAAGTAAATAACTGTAGTGCGACATTCCACTATCTTAATCCCTAATATTAATGCATCTTCTTTCAAACTGAATTTATCAATAGGTCTTTGCCCTTTTCACCTTGTTGTTTCGTAGGGGAAAAATCATTCATGAAATAAAGAGAATTTGAGGGAACTGAAGAAGTAGTAAAGCTGGTCTTGCACCTGGCCAACCCAGATTTGACCCTGAAACTGCACGCTCCCCCTGAGGATCCCTGAGCAGAGAGAAGAAGTAACCCTTGAGCACTCTGAGCTGCGCACTCCCAAAAGAGAGAAACTGAGGGGCTCACGATGAATAGGGGTACAGTCACTGGATAAGACAGGGGGGGAAATGACAATGTGCCAAATGCCAGCCTGGCATTTCATACATACACAGACTCGCAGCAGGCACTGCTAGTAAGAGCTACAAGCAGATGGAGCACAGCCCTGCGTGGCGTCTTGAGCTTGGAAACGGTCCACACAGCTTCTTCTGGCTTGTTGCCTTGCCCATGCCTTACGCATACGCATGTTCTTTCAGTTTAATGCGCAGACACTTGGTGGGCCAGGGTGGGGGCTGAGGAAGGGCAAGAGAAGAGTCTGTAAGCAAGAATAATCTACTTAAAGATGCAGGAGGCAAGTCAGGAGAATCCTACCTGATCTGCAGTCCCAGTCAGTGGCACCATAAGAATCTCTGCAGATGTCAATGTTTCTTCAAAGAGTCAAGGTCCAGTGAGACAGGACAGGGCTTAAGGCACTTGCCTTGCGTGCTCAGTTCTATCCCTAGCACCACATGGTCCCCAGAGCACCACCAGGAGCAACCTCTGAGCACTGCTGCCTGTGAACCCCCAATTCCCCCAAAGATAGGGAAGTAAAGGACTACATAGGCACTGTTATCCCCCTCTTTTAATCAAAATCTTAAAAATTAGGGAGTCCTGAAAAGTGTGTAATGAATCTTTTGTGACCTTTCAAGTGATATATTGAAGTTCTCACCCTCATGAATGTGACCTATTTGAAAATAATGTCTCTTCAAATGCAGTTAAGTTCTGCCAAGGTCATGAACTTAGGCCCATTCTTGCAAGACTGGTGTCCTTGTAAGAAGAGGAAACTGAGGGCCGAGGATGTGGCTCAGTGGTAGAGCACTTGCTTTGCAGTGGGGAGCCCGGGTTTCAGTGCCAGTACTGCAAAAATTTTGTGTTCATTTTTTTAAAAGAAGAGGAATGGAGCAATAATACAGCAGGTAAGGCACTTGCCTCGCATGCAGCCACCCCAGGTTCAATCCCTGGCATCCCATATGGTCCCCAAGCACTGCTAGGAGTAGTTCCCGAGCACAGAGCCAGGAGTAACCCCTGAGCATCTTTGGGTGTGGCCTCTAAATCATTGGAGAAAAAATAAAAAAGGACAGGAGTCAGACAACAGTACAGCAGTTAGGGCATTTGCCTTGCGCACGGCCTACCCAGGTTCAATCCCCAGCACCCTATAATGTCCCCCAAGTATTGCCAAGAGTAATTCTTAAAAGTATAAAACTGGGAGTAACACCTGAGCATCACTGGGATTACCCACAAACCATTAATCTCTCCCCCCCCCAAAAAAAGGAGAAGGAAATGCGGCACAGTGGAAAAGGCCACATGAAGATAGAAGCACAGAAGGTAGAAGGTAGACAGCCATATGAGGACAGTGTCAAAGACTGGAATTAGCTTGGAACGAACCAAAAATATGTCTAGAGTCTCTGGAAGCTGGAAAAAGCAAGGGAGTGTTCTCCCCTAGAACTCTTGGTTGACGGGGAAGGAGGGTGCGGTGCGGCCCACCAACCTTGAGTACAGGCTGAACTCAAAATCTACTAGAACTAACAGAGTAGATTTTGCTACTAGAAATTACTGTTTGTAATGCTTTGTTAAGATAATTCTAGGTATCCACAGCAATGAGAGATATAGGGGGTGCAGTTCACTGCTGGGGGTGTGTGCCTCCTGGGTGTGAGGTCCTGACATCCCAGCACAGCAGAAGATGAACAAAATAAGCAAACAAACAAATGAAACCCCATAAGAAGCAAAGCACCTTTGCTCCCTCCTCCCAATCTCTTCTGCAGATGCAACCGGTTGTCGCTGTTAGAGTTCTGTTTTTTCTTTTTTAATTTAGTGTTTTAATGGTCAAGGTCTTCAGTATGTTATCACTGGAATGGACAGGAAGGGAGAGGGTTTGCTATCATTACCAAATGAACACATGCCACCTACTTCAGTAACACACAGTATGACTGAAGGTCTCCAGTGCTAAAATAACTAACTGGTTCCTATGGCTCAGGAACCACACTTGGACTGTTGAATACAGAACAGGGCTCACTGAGAAGGTGAAAGCCTTAGCAGAAGTGGGGTGTAAATTGTAGACACCTAAGAAGGAGAATGGCAGACATGCTACTTCTCGTGGGCCCCCTCCCTGCCCCCCAGCAGCATAGATGTCCTAAAGTGCATTTAAAGTGTTCATGTGTTTAACTCGCATGACACCAGGAAGAGCAGCTTGAAGTATAACATTCTAGAGAAGTTGAAAACCATAACTCATGAGCTAT